CTGAAACGCATCCCCCAACTCTGACTCATGATTTGATCTGGTTTGTAGTCTCCCTCTAACCCAGAGCCTTAGATGATGGGTGGCATTAAGTTCACACCTGAGACCCAAATCCTTACTTTCCCCCCATTCCCTTCCCCCTCTAAGCTCAGGGCCTCAGAAACATATTAGGCAGGACTGCAGCACACTTGGCAGCTCGTGTTGAATTACTGAGACATAGCTGCCTGCCACGCTAGGTGTGTGTGCCAGTCACCGTCAGGTCCAATGGACAAATTCAGAGTACATTCCTGAGACCTTACATGTTTTCACTATAGTTAATAAATCTCTTAGTCCACTGAGAACAGGAAAAGCAAGGGGTTGATGATTATCTAAAGCACAGAAGTAACAGGGGAGAGCATGCAGTCAGGTTACAGAATTGAGGCTTGTCACACTCACAAAATAAAGGCTCTCTCTCATGTTTACACAAACAAAGAAATAAAGGTGCAAGAATGTTCCCTAAAAACGTAAATATAAACAGTGTCTTAGACTGAACAATGGTACCAATACAATCATTTAAAAGTGACCTGCTTGTATCTTCTTAGATATGTCTGAGATGAAACCATTCTGGCATGATCTGGAAACAAACATGCTCATGGCCAGTTTTTATCCAAGTGTTTTATTTAGCAGGTGCTAACAGTAACCGTATATCTGGAGAACTGATAGCGGACCAGGAGTGAAGCCCTAAACTACAAACTGATAACCAATGGCTAAATCTGGACAGTGCAAATCACTGCTTTACCTTGCAGCCTTCATAAGGAGTTCATCTACTCTATATGTATGTCAAGATTACTGATGGCATGATGTTGTGATTTTAGGTGATGAATATCTTTTAAAAAATAAACAAATATCTGCCAATCAGACCATCCATTCATTTTTGCAGTTTTTCTAGGGTAGGGTGTTGGGGTAGCAGATCCAGGATTTCCAGGTCCTTTTGGGGGATCCCAAAACGTTCTTGAACCAGAGAGGATAAAAAATTCCTCAAGTTCTCCTCTGCCTTGGTCCTTCTAGTGGGATATGCATGATGGAATATCCTTGGACAGAGTTGACTGAGAGGCATCCTATTATGCCTGAACCACCCCAGACGATTCATTTAAATGGTACGGTGCAGTGGCTCCACGCCATGCTTCCACTGCACGATAGAACCTCTAAACATGTCTCCAAGGCTGAGCCCAGCTACCCTATTGAAAAACTTATTTCAGACATTATGATGCTGCAGGATCTCTTTGTTTTGGTCATGATACAGATCTCATGACTTTGTTTTAACCCTCCCACTGTCTTTATGGGTGACCCCGTGAGGAAAGTTGACCATTGAGCAGGATTGATAGTTTATCCCTTGAGGTCCATGTGGCAGGGGTTGAGGTGTTGCTCACTCCTCACCCCTGCCAAGTGGACCCAAGGGATAAACCATCCATCCTGGTCAATGGTCAACTTTCCTCATGGGGTCACACCCATTAGGACTGGGAGGGTTAAGAGGATTGTTAGGTTTGAAGTCATGGAGCAAATCACTAGAATAAGTACTTAAATAAACTTGGTGTTTTCTTATAGCTTGTTGACCTCTTTAATTGCTAAACTAGTACACAAGAAACAAACAAGACTTTGTCGGTGACTGCGTCATCATAATTATAATCTACCCAGTGTGCTCATATGGTGTTTAACCTTCCTGTGTGGAGCTAAGAAATCTTGTTCCAGCAATGTTGGATCGCAATTAGGTCCTTTCAGTCAAATGCTGGTTTCAGTGCAATAATGGTCCATTGAAGACCCATTCAGTCGTTTGGTTTCCATTTGTCTTGGGCTCTTTATTGGGGTCACCCTGTGGCCACTTCATTTGGTGACTTGTGTGGGTGCTGATGTCTTGTTGATGTGTTTCAGAGCCAAATTAGCCTTTTTTGTCGCTAATAACAACACTATTACCTCTGTCACACTGGTCATTAGGGGCTTTTTCTCAGAAGCTCACTAAGCATCTAGTCCCTTCCAGAGCTGTATAGGATTTTAAGGAGCAGACTGATTTTCTACTGGTCAAACGTAGAGAACTGTCCAATATCTTGTAATTGCCTTTGGGGTCTCTGACGGTGGATTAACTATGCAGTGTGATTTGCAAATTATCATCTAACTTGCCTCAGCGAAGCAGGGATGGGATTAATTATCACTGAGATACGTGTAAATATGACAAGCTGAAACTACAAGTCCCTAATTGCTTTTGAACAAGACAAACTATTTGCTAATACATCCGTTCTTACTTTTACATGTAAAAAGGGTGTTTTCACAGAGCAGCAGCTCACAAACAATCTGTTTTAGTGTAAACACACAAAAAGGCAGCGGTGCTTTTTGAAATGTTCTGTTTGTTCTCAGCGCTGAGGATTGATAACCAGGGAGACACAAAGAGATGTGGTAGAAGAAACATTTTAATCTCTGCCAAATAAGTGATGGAGACCCAGACAAAAGTTTACTGTGCTTACATATGTTCCTATAACATTCATGCAAGGATTTCAGTGTTGATCTTGGTGCAAATAAACGAATAAGTCCCAAACAACAAACTGGAGAAGAATCTTCCATTTGTTATGCAGGAAGGCTAAGAAGGATCGTCTAAAATAATCTACTATTGTGTAAGAAATTGGCTCCATTGAGGTTCTCGCAACTCATACAACCCCCTCCTCGGTTCAGCACACCGCTCAGAATAACCCTCATAATAAGTCACTTGGAAGAAAATGTGGGGAGTCAGCTGATTCCTAATCCTCTCCCTTTCTCTGTGCTCACACATCAAGAGTCAGACTGATATGTGCAATCACATGAAAGCCCCTCTGTGGTGGGGCGATCATGGTCTAGTAGACCTTCAAGTGTTGTGTGTGTGAGTGTGTGAGCGCTTTAGTAAAACAGGAGTTGAGAGATGCATTTGCGACGGAAATCCATCATCTGTCTTCAGTGTAAACAACAGGATGAGAGTGCAACAACTGCTGGTACAGATACAATTTATATATGACGGCTTGTTCGATTTAGAGATAAATCAAGTTTAAAGTTATTAGAAAAACATATTAAAATTATATAGAATTTATATATACAATGACATTTGTTTTAAAAAATATTTAAATGTTTTTGATGTACATATGAATTTTATATTGATTTTAAAATAAAATCTTTGAAGATATTTGGAACTGATTTGTTCTACATAAACATTTGCCACGAATGTCCTTTTTTATTTCACATCGATACCCCGCAGGGGTGAACAGAGTCAGAGGGATTCAGTGATTGACAGCTTTGTGAACTATTACTGACAGGCTCGATTTCTATATCTTAAAATCCCACTCATGCCTGCCAAGCCCGTTATTAGAATATGAGAGCCTTTTTTTCGTCTGGCACCAACATCGGGTCCATTCTTTCCTACAATGTATTTACAAAGTGCATTGTTTATGTTTATGTATGATGATGCATTTTATAATTGGCACCATATATTTCTCTTTGGTGGCTTGCAAAGATAGAAACAACTTTATTAGCTGGCAAAGACAATGAGAAGGATGCCAATTTACAGATTTTTATTTACCAATTTCATCATTCAGTATACATCTGTGATGGCTGAATTACTCAGACTTTTTTTTAACTGTGCTGCTAGATTTTACTTTAACGCTGGCTGCCTGTCAGTGGCTGTCTGTCTGAAAGATGCTCTGCATAAACTGTCTCTTTTTCTTTCAAGTAAATTTCCCAGAAGAGCTTGTGCCCTATTTAAAACCATAATACTGCAGGCTAATGTCACCAATTGTTCATACTGGCTCAAAGACAAGCTACCTTCCTTGTGTTCCAGCTTTAAAGGCGAACGTAGAAAGTTGTCAAAGGAGGGAAAAGGAATGACAAGGAATCTTTTGCTGCTTGAAGGTCTGCAACATATTCATGCACAGAAACCAGTACTGACTTTAGCACAACTGGATAACATCATCAGCAAATAGCTGCAAGTCACATGAGGACTCTATGGTGACTTTACCTAAAACAAGTCACCTGACATGACCTCATCTTTCAGCATTTGAAACCCTTAAACAAACGTTTCACCTCATGACTCCCTCGCTTCTCAAACAGGTGGTTTTCATTGAAGTAAGGCACTGATGCACATGCACATTGCTGCAAGTCGAGTGCAACATCCTCCATCAAGCTGCTGATCTCAGAAATGTTTGCCTCAGGCATGATGCAGAAACCTAAATCCGTATAATTGACAAATCTATTTCTTTTGATCACCCTGTTTCTGTGGGTGTAGGTTGGAGGTCAGATGAGACATACTTTTATGTGTGAATAACAAATGATTCAGCTGTGTTTACCTTTTTCACCACCCCTCCTTAAACAAATACAGCCTTTAGACTGTGAGCGATCCTCTACCATTCTGAAAAACGTTTCTTGGACTTAGTGAACATGCAACACATAAACCTAGACGTTGTAATTTGTTATAATGCGTCCTGTGGGAATGTTAAGAAGCACAAATAGAGGATAAGGAAAATCCCTGCAGGAATTTCCCATGTTGCCACTATATTATGAGAACACCAGTGTTTCTGTCTTGCGTTTTAAGTCAGCACCACATGTTCCTATCTCCACTGGCTTTAGTATTTGCAAGACAATCTGTAGGATTTTGATGCAACAACTTTTATTCTTCTAACACAACATGTCTTCAATGTTGTATTCAATTTTAATCCATTTTCTTTACGTCGCCGACAGACAAGACTCATGAGGGCTCAGTTTTTAAAACAAGTAAACGTAAAAAAGTTGCATATGTGTGCATTCTCAACTATTATACTCCTGCCATCTGAATATACAGCTTTTAGTTTGAAAGTTTGATGTGTGAAGCTCTCTAGGGAGGAGTTTTGGCTTTTCAGGACTTCTTTCTTTTCAAGGCTTCAGTGTAAATGCCTCATTCTACGATGCGGGACGACCTTAATTAGGTCATCAAGTGACATGTAATTAAGAAAATACTTCCGAGTTTATGTTTTTACCTGCTTGTCTCTAGATTTCCCAGTGGGACACTCCGGGATCAGGACTGGCTTCAACCTGTAAACCTGGATGTGAGGCGGCGTCGGCGCGGAGCGGAGCAAAGGGCGGGGTAGCTACCGTCAGCACCACAACATTAGAGCTGGGGACGCGCTGGAGACCGAGCCAGTCGGAGGGACAACCGTGCTTTTCATCTGCATAGTAAATGCTAGGCTGTTTCCGTGAGGCGTTCGGGGGGAGCTGATGTTTAATGGCATTTGAGAAGTCTTCGCCGCTCTCGCGCAGAGGAGACATCACGGTGCGAGTTAGCTGACGTTAGCTCGCTAACAAGGTCAGTTTGGGTTTGAGGTTTTGTTTGCTTTTGTCCGTGTGTCGTTATTTAAGATGCCACACTCTTTATGCTAACACGCTGAACTGCTGTGCTAAACTAAAGCGGTCTCCAGTCCGCTGAGAAGGCACACGAAAAGCTGCTCCTACTCTCTCTGCGTTAGCTTGTTAGCTCTCCTCGGTCGGTGGCTTCTTATCCGACTTTAGTGTTTAAAAGTAAGCTGGCTCTCTTTAACGCTGTATTAACGAGGCCAGTATTAGCCAGTAGCTGTCCTCGCTGTGAACTCGAACTCGTTTAAGGAGAGTTGCAGTGTTTAGAGAGTGAGCTTTTCATTTATGTGGCGAAATGTCCCAGCAGCAGCAGCAACTCGTTTCCGCCTAGAATAAAACAGGTGCACCTTTGCGCCTGGAATAAACAAAAAGAGATCGCATCAAACCACGAGCAGAATCTGCAGCCTTTTTCGGTTTTGCACCGATCTGGATAGTAGTTTTCTGCTAACAGCGAGTCTACCTAGGTGTAGGCTGCAAAATGATGAATCAAGGTTGAACGTTGTAGGCGGCGTTGTGATTTATTAGGCCTCCTCTCCACCGAGTCTAGTATAAACGGGCCCTGTAGCCTCGGTGTGCAGCTTTAACACACTAACCGGCTTTTAATGCAACAAACACTAAAACACCTGCTTATTGTGTTCAATCCGGTGCTTTTGTTTTATCACATGCCTGGGACGACATTTGTTGTCACGAACCGGAGAAGCGGTGTCGCTGCGGATGTTGCCACCGTCAGTGGGAAGGATTGATTAGCTGAGGTTATAATTGAGACGCACAGTCTTGTAAAAGGAAAAAAAAGCCTCCCACACAGTCCTACTGAGGCAAAAACACTCAAGACACACTCACATGTTTTGCAGTGGTTTATACAAATCCACTGACGTTTTGAAGTTGTTTTGATTGTTTTATTATGAGTTTTATAGCTCTCTTAATATAGATTGTTTTTATTATACATCTGCAATCTAGTCGTTGCTGCTTTTAATTTTCATAAACCCGTTGCAAGTAATTTTCCTGTTGTGTTAGTTTTGTGACATTTTGTTTTGGTAAGAAATGTCAAGTCCTTCATGGCATCTATAGTAGCAATCCTTTGACCTATTTATTCCTACCGAATTGAATATGCAGCTATTTATTATATGTTCACCTAAAACCTTCATGGTTTTTCATCATCATCATTACTGGTTGCAGTTGTTTTGGAAATTCACAAAATAGGACCTAAAACCCACAGCATACTCATTAATTTTCTGATAGGAAATTCAGAGTGCTGTCATTATTTAGCTCTGCTTTTTCCATTAGAAAACTCAGAATTTATATAAAAATAAATTATAAATGATTTGTTTACTTGCAGCCCTGGGGGTTTGAAAGCACACGGGAATCTTCCTGCAGTGTGGAGCGAGTAGCTCTGAGATCACCATGCTGAGTTAAACTTTCACTCAGGCAGATTTTTCCTTGGAGGAGGGGGAACGGTTGTTGTGCCCACCACATATTTCATTACTTTGTTGAATGAAGTAGAGGGCAACACAAGGGAAACATCCGACTGCAAAGCAACCTTGTCTTGTGAATATGTTTGTTATTCAGCTCATGCTCTATCTAGATGCTGCTGCATGTGCTACGTCAATTCAATTGGCCCTGAGTGCCACTGTGTACGGAGACCTAATTATTTTTGATGTTTTCCAAGTTTTAACTACTGTAGAACTGCAGGCTGTGTGGATAGTTATAAAACGTTTTTGTTCCATCCAATACGATGGTCTCTTGAACACCAAAACCTGTATCATTGCACAGCTCCCCATGCGTGGAAAGACTTGAGTGTAAAATCTGTAATTCCGGCTAAAGGAACAGCTTGTGTTCTTTGTAAGTGCTCATATTAGAGAAGCCCATTTATTCCCGTGGCTTTGTTAAAAGTATATTTCTTAAATATTTCACCAGAGAGCTGTATGGGCCCGTCACTCTCATACCCACTGGGTTGCTCTTGATTATTAGAGTTGACTGCTGTCATTTTATATAATTGTTACAACTGCTGCCTCTAACTTAGCTGGATGAAACTTCAAGAGGCGTCATTATTTCATTAATATTTAGACTTTGTTTCATACAGCAGGAGGTTTGACTTCTATTCAGCCGTGGATTATTTTCACGTGTATGAAGACTTGATGTAAACAAGATGTTTATATTCCTACTATCCAGGATTTTGTTAAATGTGTCCTAATAAACATTTGTGACATTGATTTGGTTGGAATCTGATGCAAAAACACTGCTCGTCCATATTTTAATTCACTTAAAGTAGCTTTCCGGAGTTTTATACTTTCAGAAATCGTGTATGGTTTTTCAGAAATACGTAAAAGTGATCATCGTATCATGTACTGTGATATAATGTAAGCAATACATTTAATTTGTTTTTCTAAGCACACCCCCTGTCCCGTAGAGCTTTGTGCAATAGGAAACTGAGCGCCGACCAGAACCAACCATTAGTGTTAAACTACCGCTTAGATGCTTCATATTTAAGGAATACCTCGGCTGATGCAGAGTTGATGAACTTTTCATGGACAAGAAAGTCTTTAAAATATAAACGTATGAAAACACAGCATGACATGAGAATAATACTTGTAAAACAGCGTGTTCTACCTCTGTTTGTCGGCTACAGAAGCACATTTATAAACAAGAAACGTGAAGTCGCCATCTTAAAAAAATGGAGCGACAAGAGTTTTTATGTGATATGCTTGTCAGCCACTAGATGGTGCCATCGGATAAAATAAATACTCCGGAAAGAGACTTTAAGCTTAGTGTGGCAAAAGCGAACTTTTACTTTTAAAACTTGTTTTTCCATGAGTATTCCTTTAAAGGGGTCCTAGTATTAAAGCTATAAACTGTTGTTTTAGTTTCTATTTAGCTTAGGAAACTTGGTTGGGTCTCAAAATGTCCTAGGAGCCTTGATAAATGGTCAACCACAACCCCATAATAAAGCCTTAAAATAAAAAGACCTCTCCTACTCAGCTTGGACATGAATAAAAAATAAACTGCATGCTGATTGGCCGGTTTACCACGATGAGTCTATGAATCAGCCTGATGCTTGAATTTCTGTGTAGAGCCTTGTTAAGTATTGGATAACTCAGTAGAGAAGCTGTGATAACCAGGAGTCATTCATGGTCTCCATATTCCCAGTACATCCTGGAATATTACAGATGTGCTCCGACATTCTTGTTTTCCTCTCATCCATCAAGGACGTTCACGGTGACTCAGGCTAGCAGCAGCTCTGGCTAGAGTTGTTCTGTGGTTATCATCTCTACTACCACCATTTGAATATTGCTGCTGTTGTAGCGTAGCCTGACAAGTCATCCTAAATATGTGAATATATATTCTGGCCACAGACCATTGATGGCTGTCAGTTGTGGGGTGGGATCTGTGATTGTCTTTCAAACTGTCTCCGCTTGCTATTGGATAACAAACAACTTGCCGCTATAGATGTCAGGCCCACTAAACCAATAGAGCGCTGTGATTGGACCAATACGGAACCGTCGTCATCTTAGTTTCACTCAGTTGCAGTAACATCTCGCCCATGTGGCTGATGGAGCACTGTGATTCGCCCAGCAAACCAATGGAGTGCTGTGATTGGACTGCTACAGATGTGAGTCAGTAGAACAGTCTGCTGTTATATCATTTGAAAAAATATAACACAAAGAAACATATAACACATACATTGTTTTTCTACATAAACTCGCTGTGATTGGCCATCCACAATACTGGCTGGGGCTGCGGAGGTTCCAATGCAACATGACTAGACCGACATGCGTAGCAAAATCATTTTGCTTCGGAAAATTATTTTCTAGCTTCTAGGCTAGTTGAAGCGGGTTGGAACATGGAAAGTTAAAGTGATGTCTGAGGATATGATGTGGTAAACCAGCTTTTCTCAGAATGAAACATTTCTCCTTTGCCATTAAAACTAGCCTGGCCTGCCAGACTCGTCCTCGGTTTAATTCTGCACAGAGAAAGCGTCTGGTAACTCACAGGCAGAGATGCGCATGAGGGGCGGGACTAGGCAGCTCAAAAATAACCTCAAAAATAACCAATCAGAAAAAAGACGGAAATGCTCGCGCAACGCTGTAGTAAAAAACAGGCGACTGGCAACGGCGCAAACATCTTTTATTTTTTTTTTAGAAGAAATGCTTTTAGCGCTTCTACTTGTTTTAAAGATGTGTCCAAGTCAATTAGAACAGAGGAGGGAGCTGCAGCTTCAGTCGCCATGTTTATGACAAACTCGGCGTTGTGGTGTGTGACGTACGCTACTCAGCGCTGATTGGCTCAGTTCAAATTCTTAGTGCGTGGGGTTATTTGAATAGGAGAGTTCCCAGACCCTTTCTCTGTGCAGAATTAAACAGAGGAGGAGCCTGGCAGGCCAGGCTAATTAAAAACTACTTAGTTGCTTAGAAAGCAGATCGGAGACAGTACAGACTTTTTGGTGTGGTACATTAGGAACTCCAGACTGCTTATACTGTACAACAACAGGGTAAATGGGATTTATATTTCTAGGACCCCTTTAAATGACTTCTAAAACTCTAATATCTTAAAACACATCGCTCTCTCAAATTGTTTTGTCTTAAGTTTTTGTTTATTGTGAGCTACAAAATTAAAAGGTTTTAATGTACAGTTTACACATTTTAAAAATACCTGACGTTGAGGAAAGTATGTTTGATTTATTAGGCTAAATGCAAAACGACAAGTCTGATGAATTGAAAAAAAATTTATTTTGTTCCCAAAAATGAAATTCAAGGCATAATAACCACTTATGTAAAGACACCAAGCTTTGCACTAGTTAGTTGAGCCACATTTTGATTGTTCGGTGTTTCCTCAAATGAAATCTAATTATCTTTGAGGTTAAAAGATGCAGCTGAGCTCATGTTTGGTCATTGACATAGTACCTTTGAGCAATGCATTTGAACACTTCCCTCTGTTGTGTTAAAACATTTCCTGTCTTGTAATAAGATGTTTGATTTTAGCTTCTGAATTACTCACACTCTGTGAAACTTGAACGGGATCAAATCTAGGCCACATTGGGGAAAGCGATCTTTGAAGCTCAGAAGTAGCTCCCCCCTCCCCCATTATCCGCCCCTCACCCCACTATTCTGCGTGGCAGCAGCCCGAGGGTGGCGTGTCATGCATACTCTGAAATATTTTGTGTAGTTTTATATTTTGGGTATTTGTCACTATTAAAGCAATGAATTAATTGTGGATTGTGTGTTTTGTTCAGCTTGCTAATAGCAGTCTGTGGCTCTTTTGCTGTAAAGATAATACTAGGACATGGTGTTTGGGATGCAGGAGAGGTGGGGGTTGAGAGCACTGAACTTTCCAAAGATGAAAATCTGGGATAAAGTGCTTGTTTCAGCTTGGTCAGTGAGTTAGACGAGTTGTGACTCAGTCTTACCTCTTTGTATCTGTGAGTAGGCGGCAAATGGATCGCTCCTTGTTAGTTTGATGCTGATTTCTTTGTTTTGAGTCACATACATTTAAAAAGTTTTTTTTGTCCATATTCTTTTTTAAAGCTACATGAACAATGGGGTAGGGGAACCCTGATGATAAAAGACCATGTGCAGTGGCCATAGTATAAATGAATGCCTTGAGTCAATCTCTGTTGGGGAAAAGCTCTGGGGCTCCTGTTTCTGGAACTAGAAGTGAGCCACATTAGAAGTGAGCAGAAGACAGCAGGATTGTGAGTCTTATGTAATCTGACAACTCTTCTCTGATTGGCTCACAATGTGATGTGCAATTGTCACTGTTTTTTCTAATCCGAGCGTTTCCCCGTCTATTTCCTATCGATGGCTGGTGCAGGAAATAGGGGTAGAAGACAGTTTTTACGTTCAGCCTACACCTGAAACTCTGAGCAACCGATCATATTTACCAAATAACAAGTAAACAGTTTTCCAGTCAGCTTGATCTTTAAGTTTCAATATTCCAAATCTGACCATCTTCATACTTCAAGCCTTGAAGTTATAACTAAAGCACAAATCAACGTGTTAAAAAGATGATTTCATTGTTTTGAAGGAACTAGTCCAAGTACAGACGGGGCTCTTTAGACCCCAGGACTCAGATGCATTTACCTCATTTTTAATACTTTATGTAAAACATGTTGGCGCTTGTTTTGAATTTTGGTCCAACTTTTGTAGCAAACGTGCTCTGCTGCATTTCAGAACCATCACACCAAATTATAGAAAATACATTCATGTGTAAACGTCCTTGTAGATAAAATGCGTCGCAGAAAAATCGCGAACATTTGTAGAAATGAAAGGAGCTGCACGTTTGTAAATGAAGCAGTTGCAATATATGCAAGTTTGAAATTCCCTTGTTATTATCTGTCAGTATCATTTTTATAATAAAACTAGCAATTCTTTGGAAGGCTGCTACTTCTCTTTGTTATCAAAACACGAGTTTGAAGCCCTGCTTTATCTCTCACCTCCTACCCCAGTTAGTTTGTTCTATTGTGCACGCAGACTAACGTTGACAGATTATTTTAATGCAGCCTAAATCGAAGCATAGCTATTCTCTGTAATGATTTTATTTGACAAAGTCACGCTTGAGAAATCAGTGATGGCTGGTTAATCTGTTGTCTCTCATAACTGTATTTTAGACTTGTTGTGTTGACTGATAACAGAAGCAGAAAATGTCTCTAAAATTACTTTTGATAAATTCAGTGATGATAAAAAACCGAGTATGAGGCATAAATATATGCACGAGAAAAGCAGCCATGTGGCGGAGAGCAGGCGGGATGTGGATAATATTTTGAACCATGTCTTCTGGGGTGGATGTGTTTTGAGAGACTGCAGCATAGATGTTTGTGTAAAATGTGTTGGTAAAAGAGACAACAACCTTATCTGAGACATATGTTGCATTTGGGGTCTCACCATTTTTATTTTTTACCCCAACCGTTTTTATTTTTTATCCCAACCCCCCATTTTCATGCATGGTTGTTTTCAGTAATTACTCCTTCACTTGATGTTTAACACACTTAATAGCTCATTCCAAGCTGAGTGTTCTTCTACCTATGTAGAGTAAATACATTAGGCATCTTCCTGCCATTTAATTATCTCTCCTAATGAACCCCTTTAAAAAATAATGAGGGCTAACTAAAATGGAAGAGGGCATTCTTAGGACAGACTGTTTTCGAACAAAGATTCAGGTTTTATTTGCCAGGTTCGTTCTATACTAGTAAGCACAACGAACTGCAGGTATTTTGTTACGGTTTTGTGAAGAAAAGGAATTAAGAGCATTAGTTGATGTCACAGTCTTGTGCCACGCAGGCATGGGGATTCCAGGCAAATGGCTGACCCTCCTCCATCCCGTTGAGTGCTGCAGAATTCAAGTTGGCTGGGTCAGCACAGTGAAAGCTAATTCCAACCCCCAGGTTTCCCTAATTACAATTTACAACCAAGAGAAACAGCCTTTGACATGGCTGCATCTCAGGAGAATAGCTGTAACTCAAAATGCCACGAGAAAGAAATTAGAGTCTGGCAATCTGCAGTTTTATTATATATAAAGGAAAATAACGGAATGACCCAAAATTTCTAAGCTTCCAATAATTTATCATCATTAAATAAATATTGGCATATTTAGAGTAATTTGAACAATTTTCCTTTTTCAGAAGTAAATAGGCCATTGCTAGCCTCGGCTAGGCTAATCTGTACATTCTGACCTTAAAATGACTCTAGTCACCAAACTAACCCCCAAATTCCACTACCTCCGCTCCGCTTCGCTCCGACATGAACGCCGGAGCAAAATCGGTCCCGTTGTAGTCAATCAGAGCAATTCCACTACTGCGGCCGTGCTCCGGCAGTGCGGTGCCGTGCGCCGCCCTCTGTTCCGGCGTCCGGCAAAAATAGAATCTATCCTATTTTTGCCGGACGCCGGAGCACCTCCGCAGTAAATGGACAGAAATCACAATGGCCCAACAGGAAAAGGAGCAAGCACAATTTCCGTTTTTCACAATAAATCGATAAACAAAAGGCGTTTTTTGTTTCATATGCACAGGTTTAACAACTTTTAACAACTATCAATGGCAGCTGAAGTTTAAATGCACAAAAGTAAGCCATAAATACAGTTTCTACTATCAAAGTAGTCACACTTTGTTGATCCAAACACTGCTGATCTCTCAACACAAATGATGGGCAGATTAAACAGTTCATGCCGATGCTTCTCCCACACAACGGGTGTTTGGATCTAACTTCTGCGTTTATTGCTCGGACTGTATCGCAAGATCTCGAAAATCCCGCGCATGCTTGTTTGCCCCCCTCAGGTCTCCGCACCGGAGCGGAGCCGTTGTAGAGCGGGTACCAGTAAAAATTGAGTTTGGAAGCGAGCGGCTGCGGAAGGCGGGGGCGGAGCGGAGGTAGTGGAATTTGGGGTAAAGCAGCAGAGGAGAGAGAAAGTCAGACTGAGCGAGAGATTCACACAGACTCCCTCACGTGGCTTTTTTACACACCAGTCTCAGTCATCTCTCTTGTGTTTAAAATGTTTACTCGTTCACAATATGGTGTATTATTTCTTCAGGTATGGTGCGTACAAACTTGAATCTGTTCAGTACTCGTATACAGGAATTATGCAACGTGAAACAGTTGTTAATGTATTAGTTTAGCTTTTTTTATGATTGTTATGTTTATGAAATGCTGCTTAAAACAAAATACATGTTTTATTCCAACAACTTTTATTTTATGCAATTAATATGTAGAATAGGTTCCTAAAAATTACCCTTTGAGCTGTAGTGAATCACTACTAGTGATAGGAATTCCGACTCTTTTTTGAGAACCGGTTCTTTTGGCTCAGCTCACCAAAAAGAGCCAGCTCTTTCGGCTCTCAAGTGGCTTTCTGTTGCGTAGAGTACATTTAAAACCAAAATAGTGCAAAACTATTTGATTTACTAATGCAAAAAAAATGCAATATATCAAATATTTATCATTTCTATGGATTTAATAACTGAACACTTTAAGAAATCTCCACTTTCCGACTGCTGGCGCTCATTTTCTCACCGTCTTCGTCGCACTCTCCTCTCTCTCGCTTGCCTTTTTCCTCTTCCTCATTCCCTCTCGTCTCCCTCCACCTGCATGTGCTCTGCTGTGTGTCTGAGTCTGATCCTCCCTCTTCCCTGCTCCTACTGCTCTGTGTGTGGACAGTCTGGACACTCAGTTACACATGTTGACCAGTAACCTGTAGCTTTCACCAAAGCAAGAAGGGAGGGGGGAGGGGAGGGGACGGCACCCAATGACGAGCCGGCTCCCGTCGCTCACTTCAAAGAGCCGGCTCTTAGAGCCGGTTCGTTCGCGACCGACACATCACTGTTGAGCTGTAAGAATTCTGCTATTTTGGTGGTTTATGTGTTTGCTGCTTCATTTTCATGTTTGTTTTATTTTTTTTTATCTCCCATAGCGGACTGACATGGCCATCTGACAGGCTGTCAAAGATCTCTTCATGGATCGTAGAGGACAAGAAAGAGAAACCGCAGCATTTGTGAGCATAACCAATCACTAGAGATTCTGACCCACAAGCATATCATCACAGTGACTTAAGTGCATGTGGCCTTTTCAGTTGTTCATGGACATCTGCTGGGCAGCCCAAAGGCCTATTACTATGCACTATACACTGAGAGCCATGAGCTGTGGGACTGCAAGGAGGAGTACGTTTCTTTCGTGTAGGACTCTCCCTCTTGTAATAGGACTTCTGGCAACCCTGGCCCATGGCTCTGTGCCAGAGCAGCAAGACACATTGGTGGACATGATATCTGTGGAACTAGAGGCCTCTATGCAGTCCTCTGTGCTCTCCGAGCTCCAGGCTGTAGCATCTTCTGTAGGTGAAGTTCCGCCTACAGCTATCCCTGATTCTCCTGCAAAGAACAGTGAAGTGCACACAAATATCCCCGATTCTTCAGCGATCGTGGGCCAGGTGTTCCAGTTAAAGGTTCCTCTAAGACCTACTCATGAAAGCTGCAGTGTCCATGTAAGTGATGTAAGACTTGATGAGACTAAATCAATTTATAAATTAACAAATATGCAGTGTATAGAATTTATTATGGAAGCTACTAGAGGATAAGACTTTAATATTTACTTTAGGAAAAGCATTTTTTTTATGGGAATAAATTTGTGTGAAAGAGGTTTCATTATAAAAAAACACTAAATGTGTTCTTTAATCTGGCTGGTAGTGTAAAATTATTATTATTATTATTATTATATTTTCTCTCTGAGCTACAGTTGGCACAGTGACCAGAATTTATCATCATCACTGAAACATGTAATGTACTATATAATATTTATCCTTTCAGTTATGATCACTGTATCTGTGCTGATTGAAGCTCACTGTGTAGCAATTTGTTCCAGTTAGACATTTGAGTGAGATGAGATTATTATTGGTCTGAATGCCGTTACAGAATGATATCCTGTCACAGGGTAATAACTCAAAATAATGAGCAATGACTCACATGGTTATTATGAATAGAAGCTCACTCTGCTTCCTGTTCATATTTGCCAGGATTTGATAAACTGAATGAAATCAGCAAGCAGGTTTTTGGAAGAGATTCAGAGTATTTATTCCATAATACTATACATTCATTTCAATGCAGCGTGACTTTCCGGGTTGTCTAGCTCTACTTTCTTTTTTAACAATGGTTAAATACAGGGTTAAATGTATTAGAATTTAGTAAAGTTAAAGGAAAACATGAACATCTGATGCAACATTAAAATGCTCTTCATATTTATTTTTATTTAATAATTCTTTGTGCAACATTTTTTGACATAGATAAAGTATGTATCAAAAGTTAACAGTGACCTTTCATTTAGTTTTTGACCTCTGTAATATCCATGTTGTACAAAATACTAATTGTTTTTCTTCCCTTCTGTCCTGAAGCTCACAGAAATGGGTAAAAAGACCTTACCCTCTTGGCTATACTGGGACAAAGAAAGCTGCACTCTGAGAGGTTTGGCTCTGGAACAAGATAAAGGTGTTTATCATATCTTAGTGTCAGGGGAGCAGATAAGTGGAAAAACAAGCAGCCCAGAACACCTCAGTACAGTATTTACTATTGAAGTATACCCAGAAGAACGAGCAGACACTGAACCTGCCCTGCTCACTCTCCAGTCTGAAATCAGTGGCCTCCAGCCTTTCACCTGTGGCTCTGAAGAGCCTGTTACAGTCCTCACTGTCATTTTGGATGCCGACTTGACAAAGATGTTTGCTGAACAGAGGGTGATTTTAATGGAAGTTATGAGGAAATTTTCTCATGTGCCTTTGGAGCACATGCGAGTGGTCCCTGTTGTCAACAACCGCTTATTTGACATGTCTGCTTTCATGGCTGGACCAGGAAATGCTAAGAAAGTGGTTGAGAATGGGGCTCTGCTATCGTGGAAAGTCGGATGTGCCCTTGATCAGGGCAGTGTCCCTGACATTAGCAGTGTCCAGTCCTCAGCAAAAGAGGGGACAATGTCAGCCAGGCTGGGTTATCCAGTGGTTGGCTGGCACATTGTGAATAAAAAGCCCCTTGGTGTGAAACGAGTCAGGAGGCAGTTGTACAATACTCCAACTCCAGTGCCATCTTTGCTTCCTCCTACTATTCACCAAGAACCCTTTTCACGTGTTGTTCCTACCCCAACTTCACCATCTATTGCTCCAGCAACAGACAATTCTGTTTCACCAGTCAGAGGCCCTTTGCCTCTACCAGTCAAGCCTACAATGAGAATCAGAGATCAAATAGCCCATACACCTGTCTTTGGACCTCCACAACCTACCAGAGTGCTAGGAACTACAAGCACCATCTCCATTCAGCCCAGTATGACAAGATCTACAATTCCAGAGCCCACTGCCATTCCAACGCCACCAAGCACAACCAAAAAACCCAAACCGCCTGCCACGAGGAAACCCAAGAAAACAAAAAGCTCCACCCCAGTTCCCCGGGAACCAAAATTCACCACTGCTAAACCACCGAAGCGTACAACACCTCTTTCTCTAGCCCCAGATTTAAATGAGAACCCAAAGATCCACAACCCTATTGATCAGGTGACAGCATGGGTTGGCACGTACTTTGAGGTCAAAATTGCTTCTGATGCATATTATGACCAAGAGGATGGCACTACTGATAAGCTCCGTTTGACTTTGAACAGGGCTCCCAAAGAACCAGTAAATGAAACATCATGGATTCAATTCAATAGTACTATCCAGCTTTTGTATGGTCTTCCAGAAGAGAAGAATGTTGGGAAACACGAGTACTTCATGCTGGCCACTGATAAGGGAGGGAAGAGCATTATGGATGCGTTTGAGGTTCGTGTCAACCGCTGGTCTCACAATGACAAGCCATCAGTTGTATTTGCGGCTCGTTTTCACGGTGACCCTCAAACTTTAACCAATGATGTTCACAAAAAGATTCTGTTGACTAAGAAGTTGTCTTATGCCCTCGGTGATCGAAACAGCAGCACAGTGACCCTGAGGAACATCACAAAGGGATCCATTGTGGTTGAATGGACCATTAACAGTCTGCAGCAGAGTTCTTGTCCTAAAGAGCAAATCAAAGTTCTCAGTGACAGGATCTCAGATCCCCATGGTACACCTAAACCGGCCTTTGTCAAAGCCATGGAGCCTGAATTTAAACCAATCAACATCTCTGTTCGTGGTAAGAATGTATGCCAGAGCTACTCATTTGTTCCACCGGGTGAGGTGCCAATGCCCGTTCTACCTACCGCCACGCCGTCTCCTGGGACAGGTCGTAGGAGCAGTGATGACGTCTACCTGCACACTGTAATTCCTGCTGTAGTGGTAGCTGCCCTGCTGCTCATAGCTGGGATCATTGCCATGGTCTGCTATCGCAAGAAGCGTAAAGGGAAAATGACTATAGAGGAACAGGCAACTTTCATCAAGAAAGGAGTTCCTATAATATTTGCTGATGAGTTGGATGACTCCAAGTCACCACCATCATCTAGCATTCCACTTATCCTTCAGGAAGAAAAGCCTCCACTTCCTCCTCCAGAGTACCCCAACATGGCTGGCCCCCATTGCACCCTACTGAGCCAGGATTTAATGGAGGAGTATTCCATTTATCAAGATGATGATCCAAATGCTCCACCTTACCAGCCCCCACCACCATTCACAGTTCCTATTGAAGGAAAAGGCTCACGGCCCAAGAACATGACGGCATACAGGTCACCACCTCCCTACGTGCCTCCTTAACCCTCACCTGCGATTCACCAGGTGTGCTGTAGGGGTGCTTCTCAGTAACTACAACAAGGATAATTTTACTTGTTATCAATGAAATGGCTTTGGCCTTGTAGAGGAGCAAGCAACCATATATATTTGACCATCATGGATCAGATTCTGTAACGTAAAACTTTAAAACTATCACAGGACAAATGGATGGAGAACAATTTTTAATTCCACCATCTTTTTCCGTCCTTCACTTCTGCTTTTGACTTCTTACATTTATTTTTCATCTGTTTTTGCCAAGACGAGTCAATTTTATCTGCGATGATCTCCTATTTCTATTGTATAGAAAATGATAAAAAAAAAAACAGGAAAGACTGAGATCCTTTGGGCCTTTGTGCAAATGTCAAAATGACAACAGACTTGAGGCTGTCTCCCACAACGTTAATCTTTGAGTTCTAAATCATTCTTCTCTGCTCTTCAGCTAGGTTTATTAAGATTTTGCACTTGTTATTTCCAGAGGGGATGAAATACAAAATGGCAAACTGAACACATGAAATGTTTAATTTACTCAAATTGTTTCGTTTATCAGATATTGATCAACCTCTGTTCTTTTATTTTGCTCCCTCTTGATAATAACACGCAGTCCTTGCACTTATGCAAATTCTTGTTAAACCTTGCACTATGTGTCTTGCGTGAAATTGAAAGCATTGACTGGTAGACCAACAAGAAGAAAAAAAACCCATCTAATTTTATATCCTTGAACTCGCCATGCCACTGACATTTCTCTGGTACGTGATCACAAGGACATTACTCTGATCATGCCTGTTGTAGATGTAGCTTAAATATGATTTATATATTTTTCTTTGTAAATGTGTGCCACTGAAGCTGCCTGTGAGATGACTGGTTTTGCAGTTGCCAAGGTCACAAGACGAATACTATGGGGTTGCTACAACGATAGCATGGGGGCCATTGGAATGCTGTGGTTCACAGCAGGCTGAGAATCTGTCAATAAGGTGGGTCCATTGTCTTGTGTTCAGTTAGTTTTTATTGGTGTGAGGGGTGGGTGGGCGTATAGTGTTCTATTACCACTGGCCTGCACTACTAGTTTTAGTGCACTGCCTGCTGTCAGTTTGGGTGAAGCATTGAGTAAAAGGGGGATGTACATAATTGTGTGCCTGTGAAATGAAACAACTCCATTATGTTGATGTTTTATCAGTAAATCTAGTTGGGAATCTGGAGGGAGGGACCTGAGTGGGAAATGCTTTTATTTTTTAATTGTATGTCTAGATTTATGATCACTACCATGGGAAAAAAATATAACTTTATAGTTTGTGAGCGTAGAAAAGATTGTTTACGTACCCATCACACACACAGAAAAGCATATCTGTGATGGGAACAACGATCCACAACATTATGTGAATTATGTACATTTCATATCTGAAATCACCATTAGGAAAAAATGGTTAAAAAATCTAATGTTTTTACTGAGTTTTGATACAGTCTTAAACTTGTTTTATGAAAATATATTAATAAAATGTAATACTATTTGTAAACCTGATATTGTCTGTAGTCTGTTTTAATTTAATGGTGTGTGAGGGAATCCATGTTTTTATTGGACTGAAGCTGGTTTAACCTGAAGAATCTGAGGCCACTTCTGCAATACTGATCCTTTTAGAGTGTTTGTTTAAAAAATACCTTTAATTTAGCTGCATCAATTTCTGGTAAAGTTATTTTTAGCAACAAAAATAAAGGAGCAAAGATTCACAGGTTGGCTAAACGGTCTCAAAATAGTATTTGTTTTCAATTCCAACAGTTGTAGGATACAAAAAAGGTAATTTTTATTTTTTACAGTAGTGGTTGTTTTTGAAACTCACTAAATGGTGGGTATGTATAAAACGGCTTCTTTTGAAAAAAAATAAAAATTTCAGTTGATATTTAAAAATACCTTATTGTCCACTGGTGCAAATGCAGCTGTTACAGCTTTTTGAAAAAATTCAGAGTAGTTTGGATGAGACCTATAAAGCCAAATAAAATGAAATGGCATTCCATCTACATGGTTCAAAGCAGTCACCATTTTTAAACCAGCTGCAACTTTACTTAAAGAATATATTTGGCTGTCCATCAGATAATTTTCAGTTAAGATCAGAATGTTTGTCCCTAATGGTTGGTTGGGTCTGGCAGAAGCATAAGTGGTGGTCTCATCATAAATCGGCTTATGTTACTGGCAGCTGCAGTGAGACGGATATGTTAAGTGTTCACCTAAAGGGCATCAATTCTTTCTGGCTCAGTGCCACTACATCTCTTAGACAAATGTCAATAAATGTATTTATATTGCACAATTTTACAGCAAAGCAACTCATTTTCTATTGACATGCAACACAAATTCATAGAAAATGTAACCATGATGCATAAATACAACAGAGCAAAACAAACGCATTGGACCAACATTTTGGGTTTGGTGAGCAACATTTACAGAGGTTGATAACTTGTTTACAGCACATGTTCTGACATTCGTTATGACATCATATGCGCCATTTTACTTTGTTTTGTTAAACCACAGAAACAGGTTTTTACTGCTTTTCCAAATCATGTCGACTTAAAGTTAAAATGTCATATCATCATCATCATCTTTTTTTTATAGAGCCCCTTACAGGTATGAGGCATGCCACCAAAATGCTGCACAGTTACAAATTAAAACCAGCAAGTAAAAATAGAGTAAAATCATGTACAAGTAGCAACATCTAACCCAGAGAGTTAAGAGCCAAACCATAAAAGTGGGTCTTCAACCTTGTTTTAAAAGCTGCTAATCTCATCAGTGAGCACATTTTTCTGAAAGCCAATCACCCAAAATTGAGAATCTGACCATTGTTCTTGGCTTCACAATTTCTAAAGTCAGACTTTTTAAACATTCTGAAGACATCCCTGGATGGGTTCTTCTGGATTTTCTGATTTTCTTACATGGTTCAAAATGATTTAAAATCGGACCGGTTTCTCCAGGATGTTTTCTGCATCTTCTTGTGGCCTTGTGGTACAGTGTCCACCCTGGGACTGGGAGATTGGAGTTCAAATGCTGGTCGGGCCTGGTCTCTGCTTGATGCTCATTGGGGGGTTAAACCACCAAATGGTTCCCGAGTGCAGCCACAACTGCAGTTCACTGCTGCGGCTAACAGCTTCCCACGGGGATGGGTCAAGTATGGAGATGTTATTTAACCAATGTGTGATGATGGCTAATGAGACTAACTTTATATTTAGTAACCGCTGACATGGACCACAGCTGCCTGCAAACCAAATGTAATGGGTCAACAATGAAGTTATTTAGACAACCTGGCAAGATTTAGGCATAGACAAAAATTTAGGCCCGAGAAATCCCTGCACTTAGTTTTACTTTAGGAATGAATTGCAAATCAATTCCATTCCCTGAGTTATTAATTTCATGCTTGCAGTTTGGTATATCATTAGCATAAATTCACTTACACCATCTAGTTGGAGAGCTAGCATGATTGAATTAATAAAGACACTTTTTTCTACTTTGAGGATGAACACTTTCTAATTGATTCCCAAACCTGAGCACCCTACACCAGCAGAAAGGTGGGAACCCTACAGCCTAATTTCAATAATCAAGTCGAACTTAATTGGACAGAAAACTTTGGTATCTAAATGGAGTCTGCTGAGGGAGCGTTATGAAGTGCAAAAAAATAAATAAATAAAAGAATGCATAAAAATGTGTCTGTTTATGTTTAAGCCTTTTTTTCCATCCATCCATTTATTCATCTTTGGCTGCTTACCTAGGGTCGGGTCCTGGGGGCAGCAGCCTAAGCAGAGAGGCCCAGACTTTCTTCTCCCTAGCCACTTGAGCCAGCTCCTCCGGGGCATTCCCAAGGTGTTCCCTGGCCAGCCGAGACACATAGTCCCTCCAGGGTGTCCTGGGTCTTGTTGAAGCCATTTTTAGCATAAATAAAGCAGACTTGGTGTTTTTTATCATGTGATTGGAAGTCTGTGCTAAGACTTCTGTTTGCCTATATTTTTTCCCCCTAACAAGTCAACAAAGCCATTAAGCAAAGACTCATTAAAAATAGATTAATAAACAAATGGTTTATGTTGACCTGTCCCTTGCCCACCTGCTTTTAAACATTTTAAATTCACATCTAAAAACTCAGATCATGACGGCAATGCTTCGTTTTCTCAAAAAATGTTGATTTAAAGAACTTTGCATTTGCTGAATAATTCTCTTTTATTATAAATAATACATCTTGCTAAATATTCCACTCGTTCTAAATACACCCCAAAATCTGGTTGTAACTAGGTCGTGTATTTAAAACTCCTCAGTTTCAGAACAACAGGAAAAAATCTTGTGTGTAAAATATTTATCCAAGTTTAGACTTGTTCTCGTGTTATCTTTAAGGGCAGAGGTTGGAGAGATTGCACTCATTCTAAATATTTGAGAAAATTGCACATCTGTTGTTGTGGAATTGTAAGGAACACAGTCTTAGTGCTTTGCTGATTAGAGACAGAAAACATGTTTGTTCAGACACGCTGTTCTGATTACAGAAAAAGGGATCAGTTGGGAGAGAAAACGGCACAGATGGAAAAATAAAACTATTGCAGAAACTGTTTTGTCTTTATTGCATGCTAATGAGAATTGTTTGTTGATTCTTCCTTGTGAACTGAAATGAAATGTGCCGCCATAATCCTAAATCAGTATTATTGCAGATCGACGGTGCTGAGTCATGTCCTATAGCTTTATCCACTCCATACCAGCGTCGAGTTTGCAGTAAGTCTATGTTCACATAGACAGTCCATAAAACTGAAGAGACGTTTATGATTTCCCTCAGCGCTGCAGTGGTAGTTGCCACCCTCCTCCGACTCATAATTGAACTAAGAGGTGGGGTATATTACAAATTGAAGGCAATAAAAATTTATCAGTTGGCTAACAAGCAAATACCGGTGGGCGAGTGACTTATGTAAACGAATCAGTCGCCCACTGATTCTGTGATGAGATCCAATGTGTTTTGTTAATGAACATACTAACTACTACACTGCTATACTCCTAGTTTCAAATGTGAATTATGATTTTCACCTAATTAAAATGATGAACTATTGTTGTGTAATATCATTTGAAACAAATTGTCACTGTTCATCATTGCTAATGAGTACTCACTGTTCAATGAGTTTCTAACTACTTGCATGGAATCACTTTCAGTCTGTGGGATTTGTGGTGGTCCTGGTAGGGTTGGATCGGGCATTTGGTTAGAACATTTGGAGGATGAGTTTCTGTTGTGTCTTGCCAGCAGAAGACCTGGAAATGCTGGAGGATGAATGTCACTAAGGGGGCCTGGGGATGCTTCGGGGACTCCCTAGAGGATCGGAGGTTGCTGGGGAGATAAATGGCCTGCATTTTTATAGTGTCTTTTTAGGGTTCTACAACCCCCCTTGGTGCTTCATGAGTCATGTTGCCACAGCTGTCCTGGGACACACTGACAGAGCTCCTGTTGGGGGCCAGGATCGAACTTGCAACCTTCCGAACCTGCAAAACCTCTGAGGCCTGACCTTTTAGCTGGTGCCCCACACTTGAAAACCTGCTTTGCAGTGCTGCACTAAACCTCCAGTCTTGTATGTTTCACAGAACTTCTCATTTATTGAATAAGATCACACTAAGTAAAAGAAAGATCTGTGATGCTTTTGCTTCTATTTAACACCAGCAGTATTTCCGAAATGTCAAACAATGCCAGAGCACTAATCAAAACCAGTGTCCTCTCAGTGTGTTTGTACTTCCTGTGGTCCAAACACATTCTAATTAGACCTGTAGTGTCAGAACAAACTTATGGCAGACGGGGGGTTAATAATTGCAACCTTAATTGCCACACACTCCTTTGATTAAAGTTAGAACATTAATCAGTCATACTATGTAATTCAGTGCTTAAGGAGGTAGGAAGGTGATCTGCTACTTAGCAATGGAAATTGAGAAGATATCTAATGATGATGGGGGGCACCTTATAATGAGGGGTTCTTTGTAATGTGACTCATTCAAAGCAAAGAAAAAAATTAATATGTATATTTGACACTTTGTCTTCCATTTGGCTTGAAGCACGATAATAAAAATAATAATGAGGGTAATTATCTGGCTAACATGAAGTATATATTAAATATATCACAGAAACCCCATTAAAGTAATTTTCATTACCATGTACAGAATGTCCTTTAGCTATACAGAGCGGTTTTGTTCTCACTATGTTAGACACGTCAACCCCGCTGAGGATTTTTGTCCATTCCCGTTCTTTTCAGTTGAAAAAGTTCTGCCGGTGGTAAGTGCTCCTCCAGAGTTTCCAGTTATGGCTGAAAATTCTAATCCGCCACAGTAGAAAAGCTACAGCATGATGCTACCTCCACCATGCTTCAGAGTGATGAGCCACACACACACACCCAGACAGACTCACACACACACACACACACACACACACACACACACCCAGCCACAAACACACACACACACACACACACACACACACCCAGACAGACACACAAACACACACACACCCAGCCAGCCAGCCACACACACAC